CTGGATTTCTCTAAGCAAAGGGCTTTTGGTTGTAACAGTCAAGATTGTTGCCATAACCAACTTTCAGTAAGTCACAGTATCTCTTATAGAACCCGATGCGGTCCGCAACCTGTGCGTTTGGACCTTTGCCACATTCAATGCCACCGTTGATGATGTTGGTAATGACCCCGTACCCAGGGACTCGACCAGCTGCGATGTCTGTGGCGGATGGGGTCCATTTTTCGGTGATTACATGATGACTTGAAGGTTTGGGGGGCTGTGGAGTCATCCAGAACCAAAGAGCTGTCTTGAAAGACATGGTAGCGTCTGTTTCTACAGCATCAGGGTCATTTAGCAAGTTGTAGTTAAGATCTCTTCCTGCTGGACCGTAGTTGTAATTGCTGCAGAGTCAAGGTCAAGGTCAAGAGTCAACAATTGGAAAACTGCCTCTTCAATATGAGAAGTCATTTCCAAATTTTCTAGAATCATATCCTTGTCAAGGCAGCCTAAAATGAAAATTGGGATAAACTTATTATTGGATTTCACTTTAGTGATTAAGAAATTATTTGAGTTATATTGAAAATATAAATTTAAATTCTTTTAATATTGTTTAAGTTAAGCAGCTTTAATAAGTTACATTTAGTATCTTTAAAAATGGAATTTTATTTAATATATGTGAATAATATGGTTTATAAATACTCATAAAATTAATTAAGTGAAAAATCAAAATATCTGTGTTTATAAAAAAAAGAAAAGAAAAGAATAAATACAGTTCTTTCTTTGCCAAAATAAAGAAAGTAAATAGGAAAAAAAAAAAAAAAAAAAAATTATCTCATTGAAGAGGTCTTGGCTGATGATTGAAGAAATATCAGCCAAGGCCCCAACTGCAGATGCCAGGATGAACAAAACTAGAGCCAAAACTCTCATCCTTTTTCTCTTTTCCAATAACGTATGAAAGTACTCAAGTACTAGTGCTGGTTTTTGGAGTAGGAGATATAGAGGAGGGTATTTATAGAGCGAAGAATATTGTATTGGGAGACCTTACGGAGGCCAGAGGGGAAGAACTCGACAATTGAAGCAGGGACGGAGCTACCACAGGACAAGGTGGGGCGGCTACCATAGGACAAGTGGGGGCAGCCGCCCCCCCCCTAAGCTTTTGAAAAATGGTTAATCTAGTACACTAATTTTTAATTAGTACAAAATGTGTTTTTGATGTTTGAATTATAAGGACCTATTTAAATTTAAAGAAAATATGTAGGAGTTATGTAGAAGGATCATTTCTTTCTTTATAATCAATTTTTAAGACAAATAATTTTATTTGGCTATGAAAAAAATTTACATTAGTTGTAATTTTTGTATAATTTATATTTTATCAATTCAAC